CAATAAATCCTTTCATTTATCCTTGCTTATACATTGTATATGCATTTAATAATCAGTTTCTATGTTCTATGACACACTGTATATAGTTTATTTAAAATTTTCCCTTGAGTTGTAACAATTAACAAAAATAAAATCAGCTATATTTTCTACGATCACTGCATTACATGTACGAGTCCTGTTCGAGAATATTTCACTTAATATGCACAGATATCAGTGGATATATACTTATCATTTCTTAGCAAACATTAATATCTGTTTTAGTAAACAAGTCAGAATTTAAGTTTTGCATGTGCTCGCAGATAGGCAATGCTTTCTGGATATTAATACAGAAGGAGAACAAGCAAACGATGTGATTCTTGACAATCAAAAGAAAACACTTTTATCATCTTCCATTCGTTACTTCTATATTATGTTTCTATATACAATTATACATGTAGGTCTGTCGATCTATAGTGATATTAAGAATATAAATATAAGAGGAGCATTTGGACACGACCCCCTCCCATCCGATATTATCACTCATGTAGTAATTTATACCCCCCAAGTTTATTGTTTCCTTTTTTTTTTTTTACATTATGTAAATATTAATACATCTAACCTTTATGTAATCGCTATTAAGTGTACATAAAATGCTATATATTACCCCTTTTTTGACCATCTCGAGAAATGATGTGAAAAAATACTTTTATGTGATGTATAATGACTTTATGGATAAGTTTTAAGGAACTCTTCAAAAAAGGTAGCTGAAGTCATCGATAAAATATAAAAGACAATCTAGATTATGTTCGGAACTGATCTACATATAGCATAGCACATATATTTTATACTGAGAGGCGCATTGTTAAATCTACTGTGATATTTTGCCAGGTTTCTATTCTATCTTGGAAACTTAGCCTCTAATTTTCACTATAATAGCTCAAAAAAGTCATGTCCATGTACATTTTTCCAACAGGCCAAATAGATCGGCGAAACCATTGTGACATCAATTTTCAAAAATGACGTATAAATTGTTTTATAGTGTTCAGCTTGACATGATTATGGACACTGGCACTGGGTTATAAATAAACTAAATGTAAAATAATAATTATATGACAATTGTAAATACTGAAATTTTTTTCTGAACTGCTACTTTTTTCAACCACCTAACGTCCAGATATCGTCTAACTCGGACAACTGTCGCTTAGTTAGTGGGCGCGGAAGTAAGATGCTAGATTTATAACGTTATACTAATATAGAGCCCAATGTACATCTGTATCTGAATTCAAGCAACGTGTAAAGAATTAGTACAGAGCAGATCTTCAAAACATTGATGTGATAATTTTATCCTTTATATTAAAGGATTTTTAGCGATATGTGGCGAGGTATATTCTCAATAATATTTAGATCTAGCAAAACACCGTCGAATGCATGTGTATTGCATGCTGTAAAATGAACACATTTTTTAAAAATAAACATGGTCCGCACAATATCACCATCGTAATTTTTTGCATATAAAATGCTTTCAAATCGATGTTTCATTTGTGAAAATTTCAAAGTGGTGATATAATGCGGACCTATTGAAAAATGCTTTTAAGTCTCTGATTTTTAACGATTTTTCTGGAAATACGCATTCCGTGCAAGATTTGACCAAGAATAAACAGTATACAGGGGACACATTCTCAAAGTTTGGATTTATTTTTTTAACAAGCATATATCCAACCTTTATTTTCAATGTAAAGTTTTGATTCAGCGTAAACTTTAATTTTTTAGAAATTCTCAGGGCCAAATATTATATCAAATGAACCTTGTCCTTTAGCCATGAAGTTGCAAAAGTATTTCACAGTGAACTACTTTTTGGTTGATACATTCCAAGGATTCAAGATGCATCAACTGACAAAGTTTGATGATTCTAAGTCAATGAGTATCTGAAATAGCTATCAAATTCATAAAGTAGGTCACAGTGACCTACTTTTTGGCTGACAATACCCAAGATGCATCAATTGACAAAGTTTGTAGTTCCAAGCCAATTAGTACCTGAAAATATTCAAATTAAGCCATGAAATTGTAAAAGTAGGTCACAGTGACATACTTTTAGGTTGATACATTCCAAAGACTCAAGATGCATCAACTGACAAAAGTTGACTGAAAAGTAGGTCACCGTGACCTATTGTTGAAAATTTATGGCTTTAATTAAATATTTCAGGTACTAATTGGCTAAGAATTATCAAACTTTGTCAGTTGATGCATCTTGGGTCTGCAGAGTTAGTCTACTGAAAAGGAGGTCACTGTGACCTATTTTTTAAATTTTATGGCTATATTTAAATATATCAGGTACTAATTGGCTTAGAATCATCAAACTTAGTTAGTTGATGCATCTTGGGTCCTCAGAGAATGATAAGTGATAAGTAGGTCACCATGACCTACTCTCATCTACTAATTTGGCGTAGAATCATCTTGGGTTCTCAGAGTGTTTCCTCTAAAATGTAGGTCATGACGACCTACCTTTGGAATTTCAAGGCTTTATCTAATAAGAGGCCCAAGGGCCTTGAATCGCTCTTCTGATAAACTGTACAACCTATACTTCTATTTGAAGCCTCTAAGTATCCTGTATATTTAGATAAACCCTTGAAGAAGATTTTAAAGATTCTTTCTTTTTTTCCTATGTAAAACTTTGATCATCCATTGTGGCCCCACCCTACCCCTGGGGGTCATGATTTGAACAAACTTGAATCTACACTACTTGAGGATGTTTCCATACAAGTTTCATCTTTCCTGGACATGTGGTTCTTGATAAGAAGATTTTTAAAGATTTTTCCTATATATTCCTATGTAAAACTTTGATCATCCATTGTGGCCCCACCCTACCCCGGGGTCATGATTTGAACAAATTTGAATTTACACTACCTGAGGATGATTCCACATGAGTTTCATCTTTCCTGACCAAGTGGTTCTTGAGAAGATTGTTAAATGATGCTTTTAATTTTTCATTAATTTGTTATTATCTCCCCTTGGAAGAGGGTCGTGGCCCTTCATTTGAACAAACTTCACCCAAGGATGCTCTGTGCCAAGTTTGGTTGAAATTGGCCCAGTAGTCCTGGAGAAGAAGAGGATATTGTGAAAAGTTTACGACAACAACTATGCCGACAACAACAATGACAGACAACAGACAAATTTTGATCAGAAACGCTCACTTGAGCCTACAGCTCAGGTGAGCTAAAAAGTTTACGCACACCGCACAAATGGCCATAGCATTAGCTCTTTGAGCCTTTGGCTCAGAAGAGCTAAATACACAGGATACTTAGAGGCTTCAAATAGAAGTGATAGGTTGTACAGTTTATCAGAAGAGCAATTCAAGGCCCTTGGGCCTCTTGTTTACTGTATAATCATAAGAGCCTCGCCTTTACGCCAGAACCCCTGACCCAGGGCCATGAAATTCACAATTTTAGAAAAGGCACCTTTCCTCATCATAACTATCCATACTGTTTGTTTGCTTAATACCCAGGAGCAGAGGAGAATATTTTTTAAGAAATAATGCATTTTCACTATATATTCAACAGAGCCCCACCCTAACACCAGAATCCCTGACCCTGGGGCCATAAATTTCACAATTTTGATAGAGGGCTCAATGCTTATTACAATCATGCCAACAGTCTGACTGCTTGATGTCCAGGAGTAAAGAGGAAGATTTTTGAAGATTGCATTAATTTTGGTGGTTTTAGCCCCACCCCTCAGGCCCCAGGGGGGACAGGGACCATGAAATTAACAAATTTTGCCCCCTTCACACATAGACGCCATATGCTAAAATTGGCTAAAATTGGTTCAGCGGTTTCAGAGAAGAAGCTGAAAATGTTCAAAAGTTAACACATGATGGACGATGACGGATGAAAACAGATAGCAATAGGTCACCTGAGTGACTCAGGTGACCTAAAAATCTGATTAATCATAACTTTGATCTTTGAAAGAAAAGTTTCAAAGATTTTTCCTATGTAAAACTTTGATTGCCCATAATGACCCCACCCTACCTAAGAATGCTTTGAGTTCATATAAATAAGCGTCGCCTGAGTGGTGCAGTGGTTAGAGCGTTCGCTCCAGAGTAGCGGAGTAAGGAGTTGATCCTTACGTCATGGGTTCAAATCCCAGTGTGGGACGTGGAGACCAGTCCTTCGGATGAGACCGTATAAACCGAGGTCCCGTGTGGCGGTAGGTGCTGGCACGAAAAAGATCCCTCACTGCTCAATGGCCCCGAGTGCCGAGTATAGGTCAAAATTTGCAGCTCTCCACCAGCAAGTGGTGGCGTCTCCATATGAGTGAAAAATTCTCGAGAGGGACGTTAAACAACAAACAAACAAATCATATAAATATGCATAATCATGACTTTGTTGTTCATGAGAAGAATTCTAAAGATTTTCCTCTTAATTCCTACATCAAAAAAATTTGATTGCTCCTAGTGGCCCCACCCTACCCTCAGGGGGTCATGATTTGGAAAAATTTGAATCTACACTACCCAATTTGAAAGATGCTTTCATATAAATATGACTAGTCATGAGTTAGCTATTCTTGAGAAGAAGAATTTTGAAGACTTCTTATGTATTCCTATGCAAATCTTTGATTGCCCATAGTGGCCCAAACCTACTCCAGGGGGTCATCATTTGAACAAACTTGAATCCACATTACCTTTCACATAAGTTTCATCTTTTCTGGCCCAGTGATTTTTGAGAAGAGGATTTTTAAATTACACCATGCAATTTTCACTATTTCTTAATTATCTCCCCTTTGACAGAGGGTTTAGCCCATCATTTGAACAAATTTGAATCCCCTTTACGCAAGGATACTTTGTGTCAAGTTTGGTTGAAATTGGCCTGTGGTTCTGGAAAAGAAGATGAAGATGTGAAAAGAATGGACAAATTTTGATCAGATAAAGCTCACTTGAAACTTCTTTATCTCCCAAGCCTAGATTGTGAGGAATATTTTTATAAGAATTTAATAAAAAGTAACATACAGTTTGACTAATGATGACATACCTTTCACCTTCAACTCAACAGTTTTTTGATCTTCATCAATTTCATTACTGGCAATACACGTGTAGTTTCCTGAGTGTGTGCTTCTGGCTTTTGGAATTTTTAGTACTGTGCAGTTTTTTTCACAACTCAATTGTTGGACGCTGATGTCTTGCATGTGTTTACCATTCTTTCTCCATGTGTATTTAATGTTTTCTTTTGGATCCGACATAGCAAGACAAGAAAACATGACATCTGTGCCTTCATCAACAGTTTTTTCATTGATCCAATCTATTATATTGGTTTTGTCTTGAAAGAGAAATTAAGAATAGTTTTAAGTTCATAAATATTTATTATTGAAGGCAAACAAATAATTCAGTTGATTGAACAAATATGCCGATAGTAAATAACCAGATGTGTCCACAAAAAACAACTTCACCAACCTTACACAAAATACGATAATTTAATATTCTTGTATGAAAACAACTGATATTCTATCCAATTTAACATTTGGGTCTAGTGATAACTTATAACAAAGTATGAACATTGTAGTCCAAACTATTCTGAAGTTATTGGTTGCTTGGAATCTAAATACCCTGTAACCCCAAACACTTTAACAAGAGGCCCAGGGGCCACATTGCTCACCTGAGCACTCTGGCTAGGAAAATGCAGAAATCAGTTCAGTCTTGAAAAGTTTAAATATAAAACTGGTTCGGGGGGGGGGGGGGGGGGTTATTTGAACTAACTTGAATCTAAACTTCATAGGGATGCTTTTGAATTAATATGACAAATAATGGCTTTGCTGTTCTTAAGAAGAAATTTTGATTGATATATCCTTTGTATTCCTTTGTATGATCCCCTGTTATGGCCCCTCTATTCTCCAGGGGATCATGATTTGTACAAATTTGAATCTACATTACCTGATGATGCTTCCATTTAAATATGACTAATCATGGCTTTGCTGTTCTTGAGAAGAAGATTTTAAAAGATGTTCCCTATATATTCCTATGTAAAACTTTGATCACCCATTGTGGCCCCACCCTACCCCTGGGGGTCATGATTTGAACAAACTTGAATCTACACTACCTGAGGTAGTGTATGGCTACACTACCTGCTTCCATATAAATATGACCCATCATGGGTTTGCTGTTCTTAAGAAGAAGATTTTTAAAGATTTTTCCTATGTATTCCTATGTAAAACTTTGATTGCCCATTGTGGCCCCACCCTTCACCCGGGGGTCATGATTTGAACTTGAATCTACACTACCTGAGGATGCTTCCATATAAATATGACCCATCATGGCTTTGCTGTTCTTGAGAAGATTTTTCCTATGTATTCCTATGTAAAACTTGGATCCCCCTTGTGGGCCCACCCTACCCCTGGAGATCATGATTTGAACAAACTTGAATCTACACTATCTGAGGATGCTTCCATATATAAGTTTCATATTTTCAAGCACATTGGTGTTTGAGAAGATTTTTAAATGATGCCATTAATTTTTCATAAATTCATAATTATCTTAGACACTCATTTTGAATCTAATGACACATACAGTACAGGCCCGAGGATTCCAAGAAAAACAAGAGGCCCATGGGCAACAACGCTCACCTAAGTCAATATGGCTCTGCTGTTCTTCATGAGCACATTTCTTCTCCTATACATTCATATGTAAAGCTTTGATCATCTGTTCTAGGCATACCCAACTTCAGGTAGCATGATTTGAATGAAATTGAATCTAAACTTTCTGAGGATGCTTCTATATTCATATAATAAATCAAGGCTTTGCTGTTCTTGAAAATGTAATTTTAAAGATGTCTGCTACCCTACCCGGGGGGGGGGGGGGGGGGGGGGGGGTACAAACTTGAATCTACACTACCTGATACATGAAGATGCTTCCATATCAATATGACTAATCATGGTTTTGTTGTTCTTGAGAAGAATACATTTAAAAATATTTCCTATATATGTTCTTTTGTAAAATGTGAAATATTGATTATGTTTAAAATCAGTGTTTATTTTCCAAATTCATATTATTAAGCTGTATATAGCAGAGTACCCCCTAAGAACCTCATGTAAACCACGTGATAAAATTAACCAATTAGGAATCATTTATCAGCTGAAGTTAGCTTTTTGTTTACTTTTTCCAGTTCAATAATATTTTACCTTTAAATCTTTGCGATGTGATTTGGACAATGTGGTAATTTACCGGAAAGTGACATATACAACGTTTTAACTGTGACCTACTTTCGTTTTTGGATTTCATATACTTTTAATTTATCCAGTGTGGAAATGACTCGGTTTGTGCTATGGTGTGACGAGTGTTACGAGATATGTTTAAAACTTGACGATTAATTATTATAGGAAAGTAAACACTGTGGAAGTATAATTATTTGGCTATATAATATCAATGTGTTGAGAAGTGTATTACACTCCGCGAGCAGCTAGGAGATCTGTTACCATGGTTACAAGACAATGGGAGGTAGGTGATGTTTCAACAGCTGCAGTAGACAATATTTCTCCAGATTTGGATATGGACAACCCATTAAATTGGACTATTGCTCAATTAAGAGAAAAATTAATGGGATTAGGCATTCAGGTTCCCAAAGGATTTTATGCTGCAACATTGAGACAATTATACAATGAGAATGTCAGGAACCACGTGACAGATACGTGCAAAAACCAGACAGGAATCCCCACCACTGGGCAGAAATGACATCACAGATCAAAACAACAATGGCAGCTTGCTTCTGACTTTACAAACTAAATCATGCGCTGCTTTACAGCAGACAGTCAATACTCTTTTGGAAAAAGAGAATAAGAGTAAAGGAATTACAGAAACCGATGACGAGAATCCCCTTAGAAAATATGCTGATCAGGTTAATCAAGATTCAGGTATGGATAAAGCATCAATTAATAACAGCGAGCACATGAGCATAGAGGTTTCATCCAAAGATGTAGGACACGTCGATCTGGTATCTTCAGATATGAGAAAGAAAATACTCAGAGGCAAAGATGTAAACATGTGCGCTTTGCAAATTCCATCATATGAAATGTCCAAAAAAGAAGAGAAAACAGATAAAAGATTAAGCAGGAACTTGAACATTAGCGAATTCGTAACAGCTTTTAGTAGGTATAAAAGAATAATGTGTGCCACATACCAATGGAGACAAGAAGAGTTAAACATGTACCTGGCTCACATCATACAGATTCACAATGTGTGGCCAACAAAATTTTTTGAGTACCACAAACTGTTTGCTGCCAAATGTGCTATTGCTCTTAAGCAGAACAATGTTCTTATAAATTGGAGGAAGGGAGACGAAGAAATACTCAAACGTGTCGTGGCAGGTGCGGAGGTTAGCAAGTGTTATTACTGCTCCTCTACTACCCATACTTCCAGTATGTGTATTGAAAGTCATGATGACAAAGACAACAAGCATCAGCGGAGTTATAAAAGAAAGACAAGTATGATTGCAATATCGCATATCATGAAGGTAGACTCCCTTTCGGAAGTAGAAGTTCACCAAAAATATTTGATCATTTATCACAAGCTGTTTGCTGGATTGCAAAAACAATTATGGAATTGAAAATATTTATCATTTATTAGATGATTTTTTTACTATTGATAAACCTGATGTGATAGGGGAGAGAACCATGGCCTTGCTATGTACTTTATTTAAAAGACTTAACATACCATTATCAATAGTGGGACCTACAACTTCACTAGAATTCTTATGAATTATCCTCGACAGTGAAAACAAGAGGCCCAGGGGCCACATCGCTCACCTGAGCACTGTGGCTAGGAAAAAAAGCAAAAATCAATTTAGTATTGAAAAGCTTTTTCCTATGTATTCCTATGTAAAACTTATCGTCCACTGTGGCCCCACCCTACCCCTAGGGGGTCATGATTTGAACAAACTTGAATCTACACCACCTGAGGATGCTTTCACATAAATATGACCAATCATGGCTTTGCTGTTCTTGAGAAGAATTTTTGAGATTTTTCCTATATACTCCTATGTTAAACTTAAGTTTGATCGTCCATTGTGGCCCCACCCTACCCCCGGGGGTCGTGATATGAACAAACTTGATTCTACACCACCTGAGGATGCTTCCATATAAATATGACCAATCAATGCTTGCTTTGCAATTCTTGAGAAGAATAATTTTAAAGATTTTTCCTATATACTCCTATGTTAAACTTTGATCGTCCATTGTGGCCCCACCCTACCCCCGGGGGTCGTGATATGAACAAACTTGATTCTACACCACCTGAGGATGCTTCCATATAAATATGACCAATCAATGCTTGCTTTGCTGTTCTTGAGAAAAAGATTTTTAAACATTTTTCCTCTATATTCCTATGTTAAACTTTGATCATCCACTGTGGCCCCACCCTACCTCCAGGGGTTATGATTTAAACAAACTTGAATCTACAGTACCTGACAATGATTCTACATGAGTTTCATCTTTCCTGGCCCATTGATTCTTGAGAAGAAGATTTTTCAATGATGCCATTAAATTTTCACCATTTCGTAATTATCTCCCCTTGGAGGAGGGTGTGACCCTTCATTTGAACGAACTTGAATCCCCTTCACCCAAGGATACTCTGTGCCAAGTTTGGTTGAAATTGGAACAGTTGTTCTGGAGAAGAAGATGAAAATGTGAAAAGTTTACAACAACGACAATGACGCCAACGACAACGACGACAGACAATGGACAAATTTTGATCAGAAAAGCTCACTTGAGCCTTCGGCTCAGGTGAGCTAAAAATGGAAGCATGTTTACCTCAGGAAAAGATCACACAGATATGTAATTTCATAATTGACTTTCTGAATAAGTCTTCGGTGACCAAGAGACAATTACTGCAGTTATTAGGACACTTTAACCTCGCAGCTAGAGTCGTGTTACCCGGCAGAGCTTTCACATCCTATCTTATCAATTTGTCTACAACAGTAGATAAACTTCATTATCATGTTAAATTTACACAAGCTAGCAAGGAAGATCTTAGGATGTGGTTACATTTCTTAAAACATTGGAATGGTGTGTCAGTATTTTATGAATCCAAGTTGAAAAGTAACGCAGACATGGAACTGTATACTGATGCCTCATCTACAGTAGGATTCAGAGGATATTACAAAGGGAAATGGTTTGCAGAACAGTGGCCAAAGGAGCTTAATACTCATAAGCAATTTCCGTCCATGGCTTTTCTGGAATTATATCCTATTGTAGTTGCAGCTTTTCTCTGGGGGCAAGAGTGGAAAGGAAGAAGAATTCTTTTCCATTGCAACAATGCTGCAGTTGTAGACAT